TGACTTGGCTCCTATTAAAATTGAGAAATTGAAGACTTGAAATTCCCATGCAAACGTTACTCCACAAGAGTCGACCGTGCATGAATACCACGAGCGATAACTAGCACTGCCAGTATGATAAAGAATATCAAATCGATGCATCCGGAAACCGCAATATTTTATTTCACAAATGCCGCCGCGTTCGTGTTTCAAAATAAAGTTTGGACTGTAAAATTGCTTGTGAAAATCAGGAACTCGACGCATTAGGTAGAAACTTACCCCGAATACGTCTTATACTTGCCGGATTCCAGCAAAAAATTTTAAAGTCTCCACTCACACTCCAAACAAAACAAAAAAACAAAAAACAAAAAAAAAAGCCCCAAATTGGTGTAATTTTTTTTCTTCTTCTGTATGTAGAAACTTGAAATTTGAACGCATACATGGGAGTAGTAAAATATGTATTTGAGGTAAGTTCAACCTTATACGTACAGTTGCTGATTTTTTACGGGCCATTAATATTAGCTTGTAACTTTGTTTGTAGACAGTAAAAGAGGATTGACTCAATGTATCAAGTTGAAGGTTACCTCGAATATGTAATTTACTAGTCCCATTTACACATTAAAATTCTAAGCCATGTGCAAAAAAATAAAAAATAAAAACTGTCTCATTTAGTAACATGGGACATTGTTGTTCTTTATTTTTATTTTAATATGTTTGTACTTCCAATCGAAGCTTAAATTTTTAATGCGTCAATCTGACCAATAAAATAAGTATTCGAAGCAAGTTTCTACTTGATGCGTCGAGTTCCTGATTTTTGCGGGTGATTTTAGAGTCAAAACTTTAATTTAAAAAAAAAAACCCTGACGATCTGATGTCTTTTCCTTTATGTTTCGATGTGCATGTCTGAATGCGACCAAGATTAATTTTTCAGATATACGTGAAATCGACAAAACAAATGTTCGAGGAAAAAAATAAATAAAAAAAGAAAATCTACACTGGGTATCGAACCCGCGAACGTCTGACGTCTGCGTCTGACGCGGATATCTTACTCGCTAAGCTACGTTCCCGCTGCAAAGAATTCGCTTTGACAATTCGTTTTATGCGCAACCTTCAGACGGCACTTGAAGGCGTGAGTGGAATGTCGTCGGATGGCACTTGAACGCTCTCCAAGAGCGCCATCGGACGGTACTTTAGACACTAACACTATGTTGTTCAAAAGCAAACTCTGTGCGTAAACAACACTCTTCGGTTCGCTCTTGCTACATGACTTACCAGTGGCGAGGTATCGCAGCGTGATCGCCAGCCTTTCGCCTGCAGGGATGGCTTCGCGGAATGACGTATCTTGTTTCTCGATGAGCGGTCTCACCTTCCTCAACAGTTCTTCAAATGTTCCGGTGTCCATGCGTATCCAAGAGCGGAACGCCTCGGCGTCTTCTAGCGCTAACTCACGCATCAAGTTAGCGTAGCAGCCCTGCTCCCGGTGTCGGCGCAGGTAGGGCTTAACCCACATCCTTCGTTTCGTTGGCAGCTCTTCATCCTCACTGGAGGATAGGGCCTCAAATAAAAGGAGAGCGGCCACAACGGCTCGTTTTTCCGGACAAAATGCCATACCAAATGAAGGCGCTCGATCGGCTCGATGCTCGATCGGCTCGATGTCGAAACGCGAGAGGGAGCGGACGCGAATGCGAGCGGGCGAGGGCAAGGCGTATAGTTCGTCGGACAGTGTTCGTAGGTGGGACTGCCGCTTCGCGTTCGTGGCGGTACGAGTCAGACGACAAACAAGAACTGTTCTGTCGTCGAGTGTTTCTCGGCGTTTGTCGGTCCCGTTTGTCGCTGAGGTGGGACGGTATCAGCGACACACAACTTTACCTTGTCGCCAGACAAAATTCGGTGTTTGTCGTTCTAGTGGGACGAGGCTATTAGCGCGAACAAGCGATTGTAGTTTTTCGTAGTTTGCCTCAAAGAATCAAATGGCTGCCATCAATGTTATTAGTGTCTTTGCAAGTGCCCATCTGGGCCACTAACCTAAGCGGTATACAATTTGGTACCTTCTAACACCATTTCGAAGTAACATTTAAAAAATCGTCTACATCGTGATCGCGGTAACGTTGTCGCGTTTCGTAGTCCCACATTTCGGGGACCATCTTGACAGAAACATTTCAAGTGGTTCAAGTAGAAATATCTTTCGTTGGAGCTTGTCTGAAAGTTATGTATATTTTAAGAATACGTTGACAATAAAAACTAGTTCACAACATAACTAAATAGCTCGCCGGCACCTTTGCTTTAATTGCATTAACAAAATTTCGGCACTATTTTTAAGGAGAAAATGTGAGCAAACCAGGGTTAGAACGATGGAGACTTTTCGCAGAGAGGGTGAGATGTACGGGGCTAGACGGGACGGGCGCAAACGTAAAGGGCGATTCGGGAATTCTCCAGTATGAGCCTCAGCCGGTACACGAAAGCAGTCTTCCGGAGCTGGTCGGAGCGCTTGTCACGGTGACCCCTCTGTGTGTGCCGCCGAGTGGATTTTCTGCTAGTCGCCCCATTTTCGTGCAACTGCTGTTCTTGCGAAAATGGGCGTGTGGTGCAAGGTGCTATTCCTCCGATCCTATCAACAACAGGTATCGGACGGCATAAAGAAGAGCCGACCCCATCAAGCGCCCTAGGCAAACTCCTGCCGTAACGCCCCCGGTGCCCCTATCTACGACATCACGTAGTCAGTAAACATGTGAGTAGTGTTCCAAAACGAGTTTTCTGACAAGAACCGCCGTGCTCAAATAAATTAGTAAGCTAAAAAAAACTTCCAAATGGGGGCGCAGCGTCGCAACCCTTTTGATGGCTCCCTGGCTACCCTGGGCCTCTGCCCTAGGCGACCTCCCGGAACGCCTACCCCCGGTCCTGGTCTAAAGTCCAGGAAATCGAAAAAATAAGACGTTCTTTTTTTCTTTGGGGCTAATTTGAAAGAGGAACTATTTTCTGCGGTGGCGGTCGTCACGAACGTTTACAATTAGGGTCGATACGTCCTTATCAGTGTTCCAATTTCTTTTTCTTTTTTTAGTAACTGTCGCTAAGCCCAGTTTGCACGCTTAATCACGATCAGAATGTGTCGTTAGACTACTGTTGTCCTTATTGATTTGTGTTCCCTACACCGCGGCTTCGACTTATCATGAATAGATCTATCCTTTTTGTAACCCATAAGAGCGTTGCCTCTTTTACTATTAATTACACTAAGCTCGGTCCTAAAATTTCTCCACCAGATAACCCTAGTTATATTGTCCTTGTAATTTTTTATCAATTTATTCGTGTGCGGACCGCTTCGTGACACACCTTTAATATGCCTGCTTTAAGTGCGCTCGAAACTGGGTTTTAAGGGCTTTCAGAACAAACTCATAAAATAATCGAGAAATCGGCTCGCAACCTCCACTCTGCGCGTGCCCAAGAGCGTGCACTGGTTCGCCGAGTTTCTAAAAGAGTTAAATCGAAGAGCCTTTTGGCACCATTCCCAAGAAGGGGTATACTGTAATTTAATGCATTATACCCCATTTCCTTGGGAGTACCTATAAATACTTCCAATGAGTGTATCCCTTCAAATGGAGAAAAAAAATTTAGACACGCGGTTACTTCTTTGTTCAAACCAGCGTTTTATTCAACCAAAGTTTATTGCTGAGCCCTCATGGTCGTGCAAAAAATTACTAAATAATTTGCGAAAAAAAGAGAAAATAAAAAGAGCACAGTCAATAAAACCAGTTTTCAAAATAATAAACATAAGCAACAAATCTTACAAACTAATAGCACACAAAGAAATGACTTTCTTAACATTGCTGCTATTGAAAGAGCTTAGTTATTTTATAAGTTCGTATATTTATGGTCATGAGTAGGCCGACTTGTAAGGTACAGTGCTAATCACACTTGTCTATAACGCGCGTTCGTGCAGCTTTCTCCGGGGAGCGCTAGCCTGGTGGCATTCGCGGAAACTAAGCTAGTCACGTGGCGCAACATGGAACGGCCTGCTCGAGGGGTGTTCTGCCCACTCTATCAGCTGGCGGCGAACGCGGAAGGCTGCTCGCACGCTTTTTACAAACATCATTACTCGAACAATAAACAGACTAAAGCATGATGGCGTATCAACGATGTCGTCATCAAAAAACAAAAATATATCATAAAGCACTTTATTTTTATCGCTTATCAAGCTGATAGAGTGGGCAGGACACCCCTCGAGCGGGCCGTTCCATGTTGCGCCACGTGACTAGCTTAGTTTCCGCGAATGCCACCAGCCCAGCGCTCCCCGGAGAAAGCCGCTCGCTTGCGCGTTATAAACAAGTGTGATTAGCACTGTACATAAGTGACCTTACAGACAACACAGAAACTTCAGGTGCATCACGTGATTAATGACTCTAAATGAATAAAAAAAGATAATGCTTCAAATATTTTCTTTTTTTCGTGTACAAAAAAGTGAAAGCCGTTTACAACTCCCTGTAATGCCGAATTGGAGGGCAGCTCTTGAGGAGGAGGAGGGAAGGGTACTGAGGGCCACGTGTTCTCGAAGGGGGTCACCCCCCCGAGGTCACGTGACCTCGGGGTGTCACGTGACTCCCCAGGTCACGTGACCCCCCCCGGTCACGTGACCAAAATTTCCCCGCTAGATTCAGCGGGGAAATTTTTTCCGCTAGATTTAGCGGGGAAATTTTTCCGCTAGCTTTAGCGGGGAAATTGTTTCCGCTAGATCTAGCGGGGCAAATTTTCCGCTTGACCTAGCGGGAAATTTTTCCGCTGAATTTAGCGGGGAAATTGTTCCGCTAGATTTAGCGGGGAAAGTTTTCCGCTAGATTTAACGGGGAAAATTTTCCGTTAAATTTAGCGGTGAAATGTTTCCGCTAGATTTAGCGGGGAAATTTTCCCGCCAGATTCAGCGGGGAAATTTACCCATAATGCACCGCGCGGTTACGCCGACGGCGACGGCGACGGCGACGCCGCTCTGGCCGGAAACGGGCGCCTAAGAGCTGCGCTCTAAAAAGACCTCTGGTCGCTTCGTGTAAGGTAAATTCACATTTTTTTATCTGTGTTTACGCGATAAATAACAGGCTGAAACATTTTGAACCATGCAAAACACACACTGCTCGCAAGTAGAACCCCTGCAGGTCTATGGCCAAACCAAATGAACACACGTCGGTGCTCGAGTATTTCGTTTAAACCCCTTTCACAACTATGATGCATGTGAGGGTTTTGATCACTTGCGATGTATCTTCCGATGAGCGTGTAAACTGCTATGAGTCGCGAACGCTCTACTGCAGGTATCGCACTTGAACGGCTTCTCTCCGGTGTGAGTCCTTTCATGATTCGCCAAATGGGTTTTCTGAGTGAACGCCCTGCTGCACGTGTTGCACCTGTACGGCTTCTCTCCGGTGTGAGTCCTCACATGCATCGTCAAATCGCATTTCTGATTAAACGCCCTGCTACACGTGTTGCACTTGAACGGCTTCTCTCCCGTGTGAGTCCTCTCATGACTCGTCAAATGGGTTTTCTGAGTGAACGCCCTGCTGCACGTGTTGCACCTGTACGGCTTCTCTCCGGTGTGAGTCCTCACATGCATCGTCAAATCGCATTTCTGAGTAAACGCCCTGCTACACGTGTTGCACTTGAACGGCTTCTCTCCCGTGTGAGTCCTCACATGCATCGTCAAATGGGTTTTCTGAGCAAAGGCCCTGCTGCACGTGTTGCACTTGAACGGCTTCTCTCCGGTGTGAGTTCTAACGTGAGCCTTCAAGGCAGCCTTATGCGTGAACGTTTTCTCGCAAACATCGCAACTGAAGGGCCTCTCTCCAGTGTGAGTCCTCTCGTGGATGGCGATACCCGCTGCAGAAGGACATGAGTAAGGACAGAAGCGGCACCGGTGCTTGTCCGGGTTTCGGTGCGTTTGCTGCTTTTGTGGGTTGGTGGGGGGAGAGGTGTCACCCCTGCGGCTGTCCTGGTCGAAGGTATCCACTTTGTCGCCAGAGTATGCTTCGATCAGGTCTGTTGGGATGACAGGACAAAGCAAGAAATGTCGGCGCTGTTTTTGTTGTTCTGAACATGGGAATTTTGAGTACCTAGATGAACATGGTCCAGAATACCTACATCATGCCGGTGCAGCCTAGAGTAGGTATTCATTCATTTGAGATGTTAAAAAGGTTCAATCGTAATGCTTGTAAAGGTCTATAGGCAATCGTTTAAGATTCCACTCTGGCAGCCCCATGCTGCGGCAGCTGTGGTGGCTTGCGCGTTCTCCTAACCAAGTGCGGAAGGAAAGTCAAGCCGCCGCGGCTGCTGCTGCACAGTGTTGGCGGTAACGTGCTACAAGTAACGTCGTTACCGGTAGCGCCTTTTTTCTTTCAGTAACGTAGTGACGTATTCATTAGTTTTCTAAATCTACAAATTTCCTAAATTTTTCCAATCTTTTCCCCGCGAAAAAATTTCCGCTTTAGAAAAACCCCAACCAGCGCCTGTCATGTTAAAGTCGAAACACGCTGTCGCCAAAAGAAAACAAAAGTGCTGTTACCGTCAATTTATAAATAAAAAGTAACGCAAAAGTAACGTGCGTTACGTTCTGTCGGCGACAGTATCGCGTTCCTTTATTTCGCAAGTAACGTAGTTCTTTACTTTTTTACGGTAACGGCTACAACACTGCGGCTGCTTACCGCTGCCAGTACGAAGCGCCGGGTGATAGCGTGTTGACATTCATAATGATCGCGACTGTGTTTTAAGTGACGCTGGAAGGGTCACACACCCACAGATTATTAGGTTACACAAAATATTCAATAAGCTCGTGGAACAGGGATGGGCAAAATACATGCAAATATGTATCGAAATACAAATACAAAATACTTCGTCAGAAATTTATTTAATTACAATTCTAATTACATTTCCAAAAAAGCATATAAGTACAAGATACAAATACAGTCAAATGTATTTGGTCTCCTCCAAATACTTTTTCAAATACATTCCTCAAAATTTGCGTCAGCGACTTCAGGGCACCTGCAACGGGTTTCTGGTTATCTCATTTTAATTTTGCATCGCACACTCGGGAGTTAGTGTGCGAGGCTCTAGTAACGTAATAGAAATATAATCACAAAAAAATGTAATCAGCTTGGACGTAATGGGTTAAAAAAGTACAGAGCTTCAAGCAGAATTTTTTGTCGATTACATTTTGGTATAGACCAACAAAGAACAGAGACGACCAAGATGCGCAGCACTAGCTAGAGAATTTTTTATTGCTGCAACTCGCACCAGTTACCAAAATCTGGACGACCCGCGCATTTAGAATGTTCCAGGCAAAAATATGGATGGAAATCAGGCTGGAAAGCTTCACACGTTGCCACGGGCACTTATTTAGCCAGTCTGCCTGTGAACGTCGATTTCGTCACTATTCTTGCCCTGGACTAGCACCGTAATCACAAAGTCACTAAACGCTTATGCTTGATTGAGAGACACTGCATTTGGCGCAGAACGTAGTTTTCTTCCTGCTCTGGACAGTGACAATAAATTTGAGGGATGTATTTTCGCCCACAAAATTGTATTTAATTACAATTGTATTTGAAATACCCACGTTTTAATATTTAAATACACACTTCAAATACATTACCCAATTTGTAATTAAATACAAATGCAAAATACACAAAGTATTCAAAATACGTGTTTCAAATACTTGTACTTGAAATACTGCCCATCCCTGTCGTGGAATGATCGTTGTGCACCTTAGAAACTTGAAAAATCGCTAAGGTACACAGTAATTATTTTACGAGTGATTTGAAGCAGCAAAAAACGCGGTTCTATATCGACAGTGATGTGGACATTTGCCAGCCTAGAGCTAAACTTCTAAAGCAGGGGTGGCCCGGCTGACCCGGCCTAAGAGCCGCAAACGAAACCCCCAAACTTCCAAGAGCCGCAAGGGGGGGGGGGGGGGGGGGGGGCAGGCAAACTTTAGTCCAGTGCAGTAAACGAAACTCGAGCTACTTTCAATCAATCCAAGTCAAAAGCAGTCAGTAGCACAAGGCTACCAAACTGCAACCTGTCTTTCGATTTAAAACGCGGTCCATTTCACTTTTTATGGGGGGGGAGCCGCGAGCCGCACTTTAACACGTGAAGAGCCGCAGCTTGGCCACCCCTGTTCTAAAGCTTCAATCATTTGGAACAGCCAAACATATTTTGGGCTATTTCATGCGTCGAAAATTATTTATAGCATTTGTGAAAGCTACTCCATCAACCGGAACTGAAGAAAAAAATACAATTTTGTAATATAAATAAACAACTCGGCATGGTACATTTCTCTGATATCAAATACTATGTATGCGGTATATTTTTTCGGTTTGGTGCAGACCGCTAATTAAAACTTAATGAAGTTTCCACGTGGAGAAAACTTTGTGTACCACATCAGACTCCTTACGTTTTCCACCTTCTAAAAAACCGAGCCTACAAAAAGGTTTTCTATCCGTGTGGGACCGTTCATGAATCTGTGAGGGTGTGCTAAGAGGGTACGAGACTGTACCCCTATAAAAATGGCTTCCGCCATTCAATATACATCTGACTGACATTCTATTGCCCCTATCGCCATTCGATTGCTCTCGCTTGAAATGTATGGACACGGTATCACCCCTTTATTGAAGTTTGGCACTGACGTGGTAGGCGCTACAATGGCAATCAAATGGCAAAAGAACCCTTTAGCGTCTTTTTATTGGCAGGTGTCAATACAGAATTCGGGTATCGTCTTTTTATACTCATCCTATTGTCAATCAAGCGCCCCCGGTGGCAGTGCAATACCGGCCAATTTCTGCTGCAAGTAAATCAAACTTTAGGTACAAACCATAGTTATAATATACGCTAGAGGTTCAATTGGCTCTTGTGTTCCGCGGCAAATTGAAGAAAACCATACATGGTAAATTTCTTCCAAAATGTAATTTAATTACAATTACAATCATTTCGCTCCAAAAGTAATTTAACCATAATTACAACTACTACTATGTGAAAAATAATTCATTACAATTACAAATTACATCAAAAAGTAATACAATTACTTTACAATTACTTATTTCTGGGAGCGACCATTTTCGTATATATAACTTCAAACAACATGTTAAGGATGCAACGCATTTCTTCATTCCTTGCCCAAATGTTTGAATCGCCGAATACATGTCACGAATTGTACATTTTTTTTGTAAATTTTCTTAAATTAATGAGAGAAGTTAACAATTTGGGATAATGAAATCCTACGTTCTTATATTTTCAATAAATAATAATAAATTAGTTTATATACACGAAGACACCAGATCACTAAAATAAAATTGGTTGACACACTTTAGTTAGCCAGGCAAATAAAAATGTGACAATTAGCCATATCTGAATATTTTAATAGTGTTAATATATGACTACAATCTACATCCACACGCGCTAATACAACCATATTTACAGACAAACGTTCATTTTTTCCTAAATTATTTACAGTGAGTTGAAATTACAATGGGTCAAAATTTATAAGACCCGAATATGGGCTCCCGAATCCATCATGACAATATCCACAGGTGCGAAGTCAGCTCAAAAATGCTTATGCAAATAATATCCGAAGTAAAACCAACGAAAAATAAACGTGAAAATAATACAAAAAAAAATGCGACAGTACTCAAAGAGGGGCGCAAAAAAACTGGCAAACAAATAAATAAAAAAAAAAATACTTCATAGACCCTTAAAAACCTCAGCCTCGGCCGCCTTTTTTTTTTCGGACATTTTGTTTTGTTGGGACATTTGACGATATTTACGACATTTCTTTTTTATGACTAACACTGAAAAAAAGAAAAGAAAAATGCTGTCGACGACAGTGCTAAAAGCGCGAGCTCGTTGCGTTGGATCGCGCGCCACGAGCGCTCCAGCATCGGGTGCAGTCATGCCAGTCAAGGCTACTCGCTCGCCGCTTGCACGGCCTTCGCAGCTATTCTATGCAAGGGTGATAATCCGTCGTACTGCACACAAGTACAGCTCCAGAAAAAGGCGTACAAAATTACTGCGGCTGGGCTCTGTCGCCTCCGGTACACGTAATCTTCATTTGCAACAGGAGTGACGGACGGCACCGGGCGAAGTTTGAAAATGGAGAACGCTTATTTTGATGTTCCTAAGAACGCGACGAGTACAGGCGGCAATGTTGACAACACGCACCAGCGCGGACACCGCCGAGCCGCCGAGCCGAGCACCCGGCCACACACACGCCGAGCGACCGACATTTCACAATGCAGTCAGCGGCATCCAAAGAAAACGTGTTGTTGACGTAAAAATAACTAAGATGTCAAAATAAAAGCTGATATTTTTACGTCCATGACGCCATTGTCCACGCCCCCTGGATATCCAATCGGTGTCGAAAATACGCAGCCTCCGATTCCAAACCGAAACTAAAATCCTGTCGTAGTTGTGTGGCTAAGCGAAGTTTCGTATCGCGTATAAAACTTTTATTTTAATACATTTGTTTTAGTTTTTTTAAGTTTGTTAAAACGTTTTATTGTTTTGGTTCGCCACTGTTTTACGAATAATGTTACGTTAACTTTTTTATTTTCGCAATTATTATGCACCTCGAAACAAAGTCTTTTACAAGCCAATCCACCCCGAACTTCATTTGCGCCGAAGCTTCCGAAGCTTTGTTGCAGTTTGGTGTGTCTTTTATTTTTACGTAGAACTCATATCGATCCGATATGCCGCGTCCGAGAATGGATTTTGCGACTAATAAGTGGCGAGGCACCACGCGAGCAAGAATGAACAGCCCTGGAGGTTATGGGCACTGCTCAATTGGCTCATTCCTCGGTGCTTCTCGAAGGTAAGCCTTTTTTCTCTGTGTCCTCCTAAGCTTCCGTTCAAGCGTCTCCTTGGTTTGTTTCCTTGCCCTGCCTTTGCCTAATCGCGCCCGAGAAGTGTATTCTGACAGGTATTTTCCTTAGGCGAGCATCTCTCCTCGCGCTTTTCGTCAAACCGTCCGACGGGTTGCGAGTTCTAATCGCGAAGCCATGATTCGGTCACCCAACACGTCGGTCGGCCTGTCAAACGTTTTATCGCACGTGGGTCGTCACTTCGCGTCGGCACGCATCGCTGCCTACCCATATCTGTACTGGCCAGGTTTCTTTGTCGGCCCGCGCGTCTTATCGCTGTGGGTGATCTCAAGCGACGCGAGCGAAACGCGTAAAAATAGAAAACATTGTGGTTGGACCCGTTTGATCTACTAGCTATACGCACTCCGGAGTGCACTTCGGACGGAAATGGCTATACGCACTCCTCCGAGAGATCATGCCGCTCGGGCCACCCTTTTAGAACGGCGCGTGTATCACTGGGGAGCTCGTTAAAACACAGCCCCGCGCCTGCGTTCACGCCGCTTCGCGGCGACAGTATCGGCTGCTAATTACAAATCGTAACCAGTACACGCCGTTTCGCGGCGTCCAGCCGGCAATCCAAGCCCCGCTGTCCCCGATCGCACCTCAAAAGGGGGTCCCATACCATTTAGTTTTGCAAAGTTTCTCAACAACATTCGATTTTTTTTTTTTTTTTTACTGTTTATCGCAAAAAAAAAAAAAAAAAGAAATGTCCTAAATATCGCCAAATGCCTCGACAAAACAAAATGTTTGAAAAAAAAAAGCAGGCCCACTGCGGATGGAACCCGCGTCCACTTGCGTATGAAGCGGACACCTTGACCCCTATGCCATGCCTCCGCTTAGAAAATTCGTTGTGACCACTCGTTTTATGCGAGAAAAGCGGAGTGCGTATAGCCATTTCCGTCCGAAGTGCATTCCGGAGTGCGTATAGCTTTACTCATATATATATATATATATATATATATATATATTTATATATATATTATTTATTTATTTATTTGGACACACAAAATAGACGGGCACTAATTAACTTCACTAACATGCTCCCATACTCTCCACTTGTCATGATTTTTGTGTGGGCTTTGCCCGATGATGCTAGTGAGTCATTCTCGTTTCAAGTGGAGTGTCCAAACCATTCTGCACGCATGTTCGGACTCTCGGGATTTGCAGAAACTGGGAGCCTGCAATGCCTGCTGTCCTTGTCTTTTTTTCTCCAGTTCATCTTTTTTCCTTGTGCAACAGCAGACTGTCGCACAAGAGCGACATCTTGTTCATGCGTGGTGTCACCTGAACCGTAGAATGCTCGCTTCATAGTGTGGCCCGTGAGGCTGTGCGCTTTCCGCTGTCTGCTTTCACGAACACAAATACGGTGATGTACCCAGAGTGCACCGCTCGCTAGCCTTGCGTGAGTACACTCTATATGGTATATGTTGTTCAAAGTACCTTTATGCATAGCTGATCCAACCTGCATTCTCTTTTGCCATTGCCGGTAGCAAATTGTGTCTGTTTAGTATTGCACACCTGCCAACTTCCCCGTATTACCCAGAAGTCTCTTAAATTTTGATCAGTTTGTATGATTGACAGAAAAACCTCCCGAAAAGAGGAATTACCCTCCCCCTCTCTTTTGTACTAAAGAAGAGTTTTTGCCATCACTGTGGACGGCTGCAATCCCATGAGCATAGGCAGTGCAATATATAAATATAATGAAGTTGTCTTGATGCAAATTTGTTCTCAATATTTCTTTTTTAAAACACCCCCCCCCCCCCCTCCCCTGCTTAGAAATTATCCCGAATTTGGTGTCCCCAAACTTGGAAGGTATGGTACTGTCTGTGCCTTTTCTATCTTGTGTCATTTATGTAACGTAATATATCTGTTCTTCATATTTATAATCGCTGCAGGCCTGGTCAAGGAGGAGTTGCTCAGTGAACTACTAGTTTGAGTTCCCTGAGACGGACACCACTGACATCACCTACAGTGCCGACGTACAGGCTTAATGGCAGATATCAATAGGAGATTATGGTAAGCTGTCCTATTTATTTAGCAGTGTCGGAGTAACTCACTTGAGTTTTCATCACTGTTTTTGGTGGCAGTTTGTTGCCTGCACACAAAAATGGTCCATTAATTGTCCATGTCCATTAAAATTGATGCAGCCTTCACACTTCTGCGGTTTAGAGCGATTCGCAGACATATGTCGATCATAGTCGAAACAGCGTGGCTCATCATTAGAGTTGAATGCTGAGTTTCGCTTGGCAACTTTTTGGCCACTTCGATCACTACAAAACATTATTTGCCTTCTCAGGTACGCGTCACGTCTGTTTGGTTGGACAGCCACCAAGTTGACTTGGATGTCAGCGCCTGTTGTCATCAGAACCTGGTTCTTGTGCTGCCACATCATTTTTGGTGGTGGCGCTGTCGTCACCTCCCAACGCTTGCGCTCCCCGAGTTCCCATTCAAGATGGTGAGTGGTATACTTGTGGGGGCCTCGCTGCTGCAGGTGCTGCCATGTAGCTCTGGCTCGTGGTGGCTCCACCGCCATCATTTGTGCTCCCTGTGATCCCAGCCGGAGTGGTGACAGGGATTATGCAAGGGCTCTTTGTCGCAGGTGCTGCCACGGACTTTGGCTCGTGGGGGTGCTGTCGCTACTGACAAAGCCTGTGCTCCCCGTCGTCCCTGTTGAAATGGTGGCTGGAACTTGGAGAGGGTTTGCTGCCACAGCCGGTCAGTTCAAGTTCCGCACATTCTGCCGTAGCCCTTGGGAATTCGTTCCTTCCATGTTGAGGTTCTAGTAGGAGAAGTCCACCGCTGTTGAGCTACATGTCACCACAGCAGTCAATCTGCAGAGGGGCATGGCCACGTGACCACACTTCTGAAAGGTTACAGCCTTGATGTGGACATGGAGGCCGGTGTGAGAGACTTAATGTGCCTCTGGCACACCTGCCCGGCGAAAGAACTCATGGATGCGCCACATGGAAAGTGAGCAGACTGTGCAAGTCTCTTTTACAAAATGGCGCTAACAATAGGCAGTGTCTGAATCATTCTTCTCTTATGTAGGTGATACTTTCTAGGCGTAATGTGTTAGTAGATAGCTATGGTGTTATTGCTTAACTCTGAACAAGATACAAAGTGAGACATTTTCAGACCAAGTAAAAAATTTCTGCTTAGGTACTTTAATCTTGAAGATCTTCCAGAGTTTCACATCATCCAGCAATCCTAAAGGCGATGCACCACATGTAATTATAATTAATATTCCCGCTCTTAGTTTACCAGGAAGGTGTTCAAAAAATTGTAAGTAGTGTTAGTTGCTTAGGAGAGCGATGTGTTGCACCTTGGCGTTCCATTCACTTTGGGATGAGGTGCTTCATTCTTGTGCGTCCTTGGTTGTTTCCTTAGCCCCTAAAGATGTTGGAGATTTATATGTTTTATTTTTGGGGAAACCATGTTACGTTAGTATCTGGCATGCTTTTTTTTTATTGCTGAAAGCTGTTTGAAGTGAGCCTTTTGTCCACCTAAGAGCATAATGATTGGGAGCTTCACTCAGGTGTGTTTTCTGGCCACACCACAGAGCATGATTGTAAGCATCGATGCATGCTATTGATACCAAGATCGGGACTTCAGAGAGAATCAGTCAAGTCTTCCTATTTTTATTTCCATTGATTCTTTGGCATTCTAGATATCTTTTTGTAAGCGTGTTCACGTAAGCTTGTTCAACTTTCTGGGTCATAGTATCGGGTCGTTCTGTAATTATCATATGCTTTATGCATTTGTCCTTAGTCTCATCTGAAGTTGTCATGGGCACATGGCTGACACATTTGGTGCTGCTTTGATTTGGAGGGTAAATATTGTCTGCCATAGGTCTAGCAAACTTCATACGTTCTACACTTCAAAATTTTCTCGTAGACCTGATTACTAGGCAATAAGCTCCTTTTCAATATGTGCATTTACTTAAATTGAAAAGCCAAAAGGCTTTTAATAATTAGCCACTTGCAGAATAAGAACAGTGTTTCTGCCACCTAGTGTGGGAGAAAATGGGTAGGGGGGTGGAGGCCAAAGCAAACGCAAGCAGTGTGAATACAACTCTAGGACTTATATGCGGGGTAAGTGAGGAATTTGAACTGTCTACCAAGACCATGTAGCTCACACATTTAGCAGAGGATAATTGGGTTTGATTTAACAAGCTATTGGGGTGGTTGTAAAGCTCCTATACAGCCCCACATGGCCCTGTATGCACTGATCTAGACTGCTTGTTTCACATAGATTTTTGTGACCTATTGATCTAACTGCTTCTTTTATTTGCAATTTTTTGTGTTATTCAGGATAATTGGAAACCCAGCAAAAGGTTGGCATGTCATGGAGTAAACATGTCATTGCCAGTGTGCTTCACTCTAAAATGTAATGCATGAGCAGTGGCCAAAGCTGATGACACTTGTCTAATGAGGAAATCAATGATACTGCACAAACTGAAGCATATCTTCCAGGGATCGTTGCCATTCCTCTATACAATTGCATGACCTCCTTGTTCTTTTTTTATTGCCCTCAGTTAATTTGACAAGGACTGGATTGCTGTTACCCTTAATAGGTCGGCGTGTCACATTTATCTTGAGGTCGAATTAACGGGAAATTTGTTTTGATAAGTTAAATAAGGGGAACAACAAAATATTCAGAGCAATGTCTTTTGTTTTCTTTCTATTTTTTTGCATCACCGAAACATTTATTGGTCACCGCATTGAAACTGGGAGTGTAATGCACGAAGAGAACTGCAGTGTGACCCTCCAGTCTCTGCCGTCAGACGATGCACACATTCTGCAACATAAGTGCAGGATCAGCTTTTTTTTTTTTGGGGGGGGGGGGGGGGCGATTTTTCTGAGATGACATAAAAATGTTGTGTTCATCACCATCAAAGTGATTTGTTGTCTGCATGTTCCCTGCTTTAGTGACAAGGCCACTGACAAGCGGCTTCACGGGTACTAAATTGAACCTCTTGACAAGTTGCTCAAACAATAGTGATACACAAATGGCAGTACGAGGACAAGTTGAAGAACCACAAGTAGCGCTTGTCCTATCACTTCTTCAACTTGCCGTTGTCCATAGCACTATTTGTGTTTTGCTCCTCTTCATCTGCTTCATAAAGAGCAAATATATAAGGCTGCTTAATAAAATGACAGCGTCCGTCAAATCGGTAAACATTAAACATATTGCCCTGGCCAAGTCCAAGTCTCGTTTTCACGATGAGTTGCATAGTGAATCGGCTAACAATGGTTGATGAATATGATGTAGTTCTACTGAATCAGTAGCATACTTCAATCTCTCTTCTGCACAAAACCTATGTTTGGGAGCGGTTGACATAGTGTTTTCTCGACAGCCGAGGGGCTTGAAGCAGGTGCTTAACGTCTGTGAGCCTCCACCATTGAAATTTTAACTTGTCACTTGCTCTAGAACTTGATAATGGAGCAATGGCAGATTTTATGAAGTTTGCGAAACTGACGTCGGAGGCCTTCGAATGGGAAAGGTTTACAGGGCTAGAAACATAATGACAGCACGTCCTCACTCACAATTATCTGTAATAAAAAGACGGTGCCCAAAGAACTGTAGCTAGTTTTAAGTGTCACTCGCTGAAGCGTTTGTATATTGTGTTAATTCCTGCATTTTGCTGTTTTTTTTTCTGTTTCAGGATCCAGTGTTACATTCCTGTGGCTTTTTGGTTGTTTCCCAATTATTGAAGGGAGTTGCAGGCTTATCATGGGCGACACAGTGCTTTGGTGAGTGTACCTTTTATTTACTGCTTGGCCAATCAAATCGAGTGGCTTTGCAGGAAACTCTCTACAGTTTCAGGATGTTTGAGGGTGTGTTCTCCTTCAGACATTCTGAAATGGCACAAATTTTTTGTGCTGCATCACTATACCCTGTTGAATGACGAGCTGAAATCGTAGTAGAAGCTACATGCTCGTTGGACCAGTCATATGTCTACCTTTCGCCATGTGTTACACTCCCGCCCATAACCATGTGCAGAAGGCGGGGTCAGGTAACGAGAGGGAGGTGGTTGATTGATCCGGTGGGTGCGTAGTTACCACCACAGTCAGCTTAGAGGTGAATGTTAATTACTCAAGCTTTAAATAGGTCACAGTACTCAATGCTTGAGGAACACCTGAGAAGTTTTTAGAATGTTTTTATTTACCGTGTCTACTCGCTCCATGAGTCTCAAACTACGTCCAACTCGGCTAGCTATCAAGCCAATTTTCTTTCGCCGCCAAGCGGCCAGGCCACTTCAAACCAGGCAAAGCATAGCGGTACATGCTTTCATGGCTGCAAGTGTGTAGTTGCGGATGTGATCAAGAGTGAAACCGAGCGGCGCATACACGTAACAAAGCTGGGGTCGAGGAATTGCCCAGCTTTGGACATGTTTCGCCCACCGAATGCATTGATGTCAACAAACATGCGGTCATCTGTAGTGTGCTTTCGGACAGTGAAATCGTGAAAGTGGTTAGGCCTAAGGACGGTCGCGTCACTCACCATGCTGAGTGAGCTTCCCTAGTAAAAAAATCTTAAATGTATAAAAAAATTTTATGTCCAACAAACGCGTATGATCCAATAAGATCATATAAGAAAATACAAGAACTTTATAAAAACATATAAGAGCAATATAAAATTATATTTGGAGTTATAAGAAACTTCTTTTCAGTTTCTTAAAACTTCTTATATAATCTTATATATTTCCTATATTGTTCTTATACGTTTTTATAAGGTTTTTATATGATCTTATTTGGTCATATGCTTTTATTGGACACCTCAATTTCTTACATGCAAGATTTTTTTACTATTCACTAGAAGGGCGCTTTTCCTTTGACAGAAGGCACACCGAAAGCACCCTAAAAAAAGGTTTTCAAATTGTAGAACATGGTTATTGTAGCGCGCCCACGACCAGCCGTCAATGCGCCTCCGTCAGTGGAGACATGCCACAGTACTTTGCCGTGTCATACTGCCACCTAAAATTACATTTTCGCGAAGTGTGTAAATGCAGAAATTTATCCTGCATAATGAACGCACCCCCGAAATATATGTTCATTTCAGAATAAAGAGGTGTGTTCATTATGCGGGTAAATATGGTAAAAAAGTGAATGATGACTCAAACAAATGCAAAACTCATACATTGAAATTTGAAAAAAATCACCAACCATATCCTACAACAAGGTCCCAACGTTTCAAAAACAGCTTGTTTTTTTCTTCGGGGGTGACTGCTTCCAGATAGGGGACAACAGCTTCGTTTTCTTCTACGATAGTCTCTTTTTTTTTTCACTTCGTTAGGTGGCTGAGTCCGTTCACGTAGCATGATGGCCATGTGCCAGTGGACCTATTGATGTTTCCTGGTGTTGTTTGGATATGCCATGACTATAAAAAGCTGCTGGCAGAAGTTTGTCTCAACATTTATGAGGGTGTTGGCAAACTTGATGCGATATTCATTGTCCTCACAGTGCTCTGCAACAGCGCTGCGCTCGTGGTCGAATTTGCAGTTGTTTTTGTGTTGTTGAATTCTTTCTGGGAAGTTCTTTGTTTTTCCAATGTAGGTGGCATGGAATTGAATATACAATGCCCTGCGCTCTTTGTTTAGTGGGATGACCTTTAATTCGCAGCATCATACGTCAAAGTGTTGATACCGGTTTGTGGGACACCTGAATACTTTCTTTTACCAGCATACATGACAGCGCTTCGCTAGTCCCCTTTATGTAGGGAACACAGATGCGGGTGTGTGGACGGATGTTTTTGAGTTTTTAAGCTTTCTCCCGACCAGGCAGGCCTCTGCCAAAATGTTTACCCTCAAAACTTGCACTGCATGTAGTAATGGCTCTTGGTCTGCGAGAATTTTTGTTTTAGTTTTATGTTTGTTGAGCATTATTGGACAAATGACAAAGGCTATGCCACCTCATTATGACCGCAGTAAAAAGAGCTATACACCTGATAACATAGTCGTGTCATGTTTTTGCTTTGAAAAAAATGTTAACACACAAGATTCATCTATTTCTTGACCCCTTGACTGGGGACCCATGACCAAAAAAAATTTTTTTTTGTCCCTATTTTGCCTATATTTTTTTGTACGAGACTTTTCTTGTGCTACCATCATAGCTTGAATTTCTAAAGGAAAATTATTTCCGATGTTAGGGGATAGATGGTGCTTCCTCCCGTACGATAAAAGAGTGAGCGTTTAAAGACGCACTCCCCAAACTGATTGAAGAGTGGTGCATCTATGAGTGTGCCCCCCAGGCTGCTGTTAAAATTGCCAAGCATCCAAAGATCTTATCAAAAGTAATAGATTTGTCTAAGGTGAAGTGAATATTTACACTAAATTCAAGTAATGATGCAATAACAACATGGCAGTGCCCACAAGCTGCATGCGCATGAACGAATTTCACCATCCAAATGGATGAATGACCGTTTTGGCAGAACTGGACAATGAGGAAAAGGGTACCAATACTTGAGTGTAGCTTTATAGGGGCTATTATCATTTTAAATTGCAATTCTCATTTGCTCTTTCAGCTCGCACCTTCACGGAGTACAGCAATGTGGGGAAGCAAGTCGAGGACAGCCTCTCTCGATTTCTGTCCCGGGGGCACTATGCTCTTTCAGGTAAGCTGCTTCCCTCTCTTAAGAGACACGAGTAGACCCTTTTATTCAAGACAAGAATGACGATAATAATCACATCAAATAAAATTGGGAACAAGGGGATAAAGGAGATTCCTCTTTGACCTTTCTCCCCCTTGTACCCCTTTTCCAGGGATTATTATTGTATTCATACTTATTACATTATTGTGGCGTTGAGATTTTGACAACCTGTGGTTGGCTGATGTATTGTGGAAGTTAAAGCTATTGCACATTCAAACATGGTGTGAAATACAGTAGAACCCTGCTGCTGCATCTTTATGCAGTCACAATAAAGGATCATGACATGAGCAAAGATGTAACAACTGATAATGCCCTTGGGACAGCTATAGATGTTTCAGGAAGCTGTATTCTCTGTTTATCTTACCTTAGCTTTTATGGCTGTAAAAAAGATTGCCTTATTTTATATGTTGACAATTTTTTCAACACTTCTTAAAATTGTGGTTGAACTATAAGTAACACACTGTTTACAGACAAGCTTGTGTTTGCCCACAGCAGCTATGGGCACTGCATACGCAGGAACTAGATTCGTGTGAGCAGACATGTCTGCACATGTCCTGTGCCGACAGTCGCGCCATCGCAGTGACGCGTTGTCTATAGTTGCAGTTAAAAAAATATTGAAATATAAGAATGCAAAAATTCTGAGCCCATCGAGCTAAACCACAGCTGCCTCAAACAAATCACTGCACCCTGCATGCCACATCAAAGCAGTGGGGCTTGAGGCAAGCAGCACTGCTTGAACATGGTGGCATGGAGGTGGTAAAGAAAAATGGGGTGTCGTGAGAGCCTGAATCTCTTATTGTCATACAGGACCAAGCAAGAAACACAGTGCAGAGAGGCAAGGAGGTAAAATAAAGGGAGTAAAGCAAAAGGAACGGGGTATGTGTTCCTAGTAGTCATGCCGGCCACCTTGAGTGGCAGTGTTTGGGCATAAGAACCAAGAAGGAAATTCATGAAGCCTGTAATTCTAACACGTATATACTTTTGGACGTTCGATAGGACCGGTTTCCGTGAACATAACAGCCGAGAAAACATGTGAGCAAGGTTCTTCTGTGCATATTTTTGAATGTGCTGCAAGAATATTTCTGGTTATATGCCCACTTAATTTATAATGTTTTTCTTCTTTCAGCTCACACCTTACAGACATGTCAGGAAGCAAGGAAAGGTTATTTTTTTCACTCATCGTTTATATTTGGGTGATTAACTTAGTCTTGAAAAAAAAAACGTCATTTTAATGACATTGTGATAAATAAATTTTGGGTCTTTAAATTGTCCTTCAATCTTTGTTTTCTTCCCATATTGCAAGCCGGCACTATGTGTATCAGGCATGGAATCAATGGTAGGCCATGTAAACAACTGCAGTTTTTCGGCTGGCCAGCTTAAAGTTTACGAGGGGTTGACAATGGCGAAATGGTCACGAAATTCGATCAAATGACGTCTATGTGATAATTATGCCCTTATAAAAATGGTTGATGCCATTTTGTATTATTGCCAAATGGCAACAGGTGTTTAAGAGCAGTCAATCAGCAGGCAACAGATGTTAATCGTCATTGAGATGTCATCTTGTTGACCCGGATAGCCATTTCGCCACCGTCAACTTTTTGCCGTTCTATTGGTTATTGTCGGTGCATTGCCAGTGTATCTACATGCCAATGCTAATTGGCTATTGGAGGCAGTCAAAAGACTATAAAATGTGTAGTCCTTTGATTGCCTCCTTTAGCCATTTAACGTTAACATGTAGATACACTGATGATACACCGACAATAACCAATAGAACGGCAAAAAGTTGACGGTGGCGAAATGGCTATCCGGGTCAGCAGGGTGACGTCTCAGTGACGATTAACATCTGTTGCCTGCTGATTGACTATTTGTAAACAGCTGTTGCCATTTGGCAATAGTATGACTTTCAAATGGCATTAACCATTTTCATAGGGGTATGACTGTTTTCCCGTGTGCTTCTTCTCATACCTGGTGTTGTTAGTTCCGTGGGCACCATAAGATTGGCGGCAGAAGTCGCACCGCCGTCCGTCCTCCCCTCCTGGTCCATCTTCAATGGTTGCCTCTGCAATTCGGCTCCTTGGAAGGAGAGCTCCGCCCCCTTGTCCTCGTAGTCCGTTCTCTGCCATTCGGAGTCGGATGCTGCGTGGGCAAGTTCTGTTAGGAGTGAAGATCAAATTTTGTTTTGTTCATTTTTTTATACTATACCAATACAGAAGCTCAATCACAACGAAACTTAAAGGGACACTCAAGCGGTTTTCGGAGAAGCTACTTTTTGGTGCGATGGTGTTAAGGAAGTGTCAGTGAATGAGTATCTTCAGTTTTAGAAGGCAGAAACGCCTATTAATCACGCAGGAATAAAATACGTGCGGACTCTTTTCTGTACTTGCGAGGACCAATGAAAGTATCGTTGTTTGAAAATTTTGGCGGTCTTTTTAAAGTTTCGCTAAAAAAACAATTTTCAGTTCATTTAAATATGTTGTGCATGAAAATTTCACGAGACGTAAAATATTTCTAGTTTAGAATACGCGATAGCGCAATTATCGCTTCACAAACAAGGGACTACGTTTTCTATTTGCCTTCCTCCGCGGGGGGTGAATTTCCCGTTCCCCAGGGATGCGCGGAAGCGCACGTATCTCCGCGCGTTGCAGGCCGGTCGTGCCGTTCGCGGGCCGGCCGGCTCCTTCTATCCGCAAACGTGGCGACGGTGGTGATCGTCGGGATGGACGGCCTGGTGAAAGCTCATCGTTCCGCGTGAAAGCGCTATCCTTGACTGTGAATTTTCGTCGTGTTTCGCTATGATAACCCAGCACCTACTAGAAGGGAACATCCACCTACTCGTGCGGCGATGTCGTGGCGGCACTCTCAAGATAACAGAAACGCCCGTGCCGTCGTGTTTGTTTACTTCGACTACAGTGGTGCTTTCTAAGCATTTGTCCTCGAACATCGCCCGGATTTCTGATTTGGCGCATTTCATGCGTGTGCTCAAGTTCAGGGTATTACTGGCGCGTACCGTATAAAGGATACGAATTTTCACGCGTTTTCATTACCGGAGAAAAGTGATTAGTGTTAGCAATCCTGAACGCTCGCAACGTCTATCTCATCACGAAATCATATTTCTACGTTGCTATATCGCTGCTAAGATTACATTGTCTTTTATAATCGTAGAAAAGGCGTGTGGCGATATTTGTACTATTCCAATGTCGTGTATTAGAGTCGTGATCGTCCAAGACGGCGCTGCATCTTTTTATTTTATTTTTTTCATTCGCTGTACCCTCCAAGCCTATCAGGAAATAATAATGAAGCTTTAGACTAGAAAACTGTCTGTCTATATTCTGTTACGGCATTGAGTAGCAGTGCGTCCCCTTTTTTAGAGAGGCCGCTGACACAGCTGACGGCGGCGTACAGAAGCGGTCGCCGTGGTGACGACCCGCTGCGCTTGTTGTAGTGGTTACAGGTGTGTGTACGCGCGGCGCAGTGCGGTCGTTCCGGTTGCAACGGACGCAGTCGTAGGTACGCGCTCGTTGCACATGTCTGAACCAGCCTTCCCCCCGTTCTCCCGAGGCGAAAGTCAACGTGGCGACATCGTTTGACATCACGCACCAGAGGTAACGCTGCGATGTCAAACGTTGGTTTGGTTACGACTTGCCCCAACCGCAAATCGAAGAACGCCCGAAAAGGTCTGCGTTTCGTCGTCCTCGGAACCCGAACATGACTCCGAAGCGCTGCTATCGTCCACATCGCATGTCGGAGTGGCGTCATAGGAAATCATCCCCAGGTCGGCTGTCCGCCGAAGAACTTCAACCTCTAACGGCGTCAGGTCCTCGAGCGTAGAGAACTCCGCCATGATCGAAGCTCGAATGACAAAGAGGTTCGGCCGATGCGGCTACCTCGGGATCACTGCGCGACGGAACGTCGTCCAACGCCATTGGCCCGAGATCCTTTCGATAAGCGTGCGACGACCAATGAGAGTGGTTTCGTTTTCGGATGGATCCGAGGTTTGGCGGCCTTCAATTACATTTTTATTAAAGAAATAATCACCGTATGACCATACTTTTTGGTTTTTAGGGATACTTAAGGCGTCTAAATTCAGCTGCCATTATCAAAACACGAACTCAAAAACCACTTGACTGCCCCTTTAAGGAACAAGCAAACATAAACACATCATGCTGATGAAGTAGAGAAATTCAGGGGTTTACATTGATATGGCGGTGTAATTAAAAAAGTAAAATAATAATATCACGATCAAACACCCGCACCATAACTTGATACTGAATACACCGAAAACGTCGACTGTAAAAATGCACGTGAATCAAACATAAAAGCGATCCTTCTCTATTAATACGTGCTTCGAAGGTTTTACTTCACCTTTAAACATACGGTAAAAGATTACTTCGATACAGATCTACATAAATCATGAAAGACACAACTGGGTACGATCAAAGAGCGTGGTTTAGTTACATCGCTCCTGCTCTGTAGTGCTCAAAAAAGGCAGGCATGCCACAAAACCAACAACTGCACGGTATATCGCCGCCACAGGTTTTGAGAATTACACGTGAAATATATGGGCATGGTGTGTCGGCGAACAAAGGTAGGGACGGGAATGGAAATGTTGCATGTAGTTGGCTGAGCTGTGGCCAGTCCCGATTTGATTCGAGTAGTAGGTCCCATTTATCTGGGGAAAAACGTAGCCCAAGGTTCTGGCACTGCCATAGGTTGGTCTGGCTGGTGGCTGGCACTCTTTCCCAGGCAGCGAAGGATCGCTCACGCTTGCTTTAAGAGGATTTCCGGATAGTTCGGCCTGCAAAGTTTAGAAGGATGAGGGTTAATAAACAGTCGCCAACACAAAGTTACTTTACCTGCCCTCAAATATCATCACATTGGATGAGTGCAACTAAAACTGAAGGATACCAGTGCCTGGAATTGGTCCAGTTGGCTATTCATTACTTGATTAAACTGCGGAGTAAATGATTATGAATTACGATGCAGAGACGAGAAAAAAGAAGGCAACAAATGGGAAAACGCGCATTTGCAGTTCAGTTTAATCAAGTAAAAAACTGAAGGCCAGTTTCGAGATTAAACAGGGCATGGATAATAACACCATTTGTCAGTAGGAGGGTATCTGCGAGAAATTTCAATCTGAAGGACGCGAAAAAAACAAGTCCCATGGGACTACACCATTTCCAAGTGTGAATGTTTTGGCCAAATGACACTGACCATTTCTATTTCCACGAGAGATGTTTCATTATATATGCAGCGTCAAACCGCTCGCAAGGAGGAAAATGTTTGCCGGTTCCGTCTGTGCCGCATACACGCGACTAATGCCACCATTTATAAAATTATATGCAGTGTAGATCAATCATTCAGGCTCGCATTTTGTCAACAACTAACATAAGCGGGGCCCACTTAGGGAGAACGAGTTTTACCCGACATACTTGGTTCACGTTTCACGAGTTCCCCATAGAACCCCATTGGGAAAAAGCCTTTTAGATCATCCAGAAGTTGAATATAAAACGCTATAATTTGGTTAAGGAATCTTCATTATAAATTTATCACCATTCAACACGAGTACAAAAGTTTACAGTCCTTATTGCAACGCAAATGTTTGTTTTCTCCTTTTTATTTCTTCCAACTCAAGACAAGCTCGAGTGGCTTTCTCCTCTTGATCTTAAGAGAAGGTGAAACGCTTCTTCCGAAAAATGAGATAGAGGTTGATTTCTGCGTTGTTTGATCCCGTAATTCTGAAGATTTTGTTTGTTTTCCCCGAAGATGTAACTAAACCCGAGAACACGCGAAAAACGTCCCACCAGTCGTTACGTCATAAAAAAATCTTTCGGCCGCCATGCGCGTGTCGCTCGTGAGCAATTGCAGGCTTGTCACTCCCCCGCACTGGCAGCAATCATGGCGCCTTTTTTTTTCCTTTTTAAAAATAGCAAGACTCGCGTGCATAACTTCGATAGGCACTGAAGATGCGCGAAAGCGGAGATTCCGGAAACTCCGTTTATGATGGCACGCTCCGGGAAGGAGGGGCTTCAGCGGTACTTTGAAAAGGGTTTATCTCCCACGCGAAAATTTCTAACTGGGACCAGTTGGCACCTCAACTGGTTTCAACTGGGACTAACTGGTTCCAACTGGGAATCAACTGGGACCAATAGGAGTCCCACTCGGGACCAGCTGAGGGGCCAACTGGTTTGAACCATTCCCAGTTGGGAGTCAACTGGTTTGACTCCCAGTTCGGAATGGAGGGAACTGGGACCAGTTAGGAAAGCAACTGGTTGGAGCGATTCCCAGTCGGACTTCAAATGCCTTTCCCGTTCCCAGTTCACACGGGGCAACAATTTTGACAAGTTGGGGGTGTATTGACCTTGGCTAATGAAGAAAACTAAAAACACTTAAATTTTTAGATTTATACAAATAGGGAAATGTTTAATTACTGGGTACATTTTTATATTTATGAAAATAATATAAAAATTTTACTGAACTAAATAATTTTTTTAATTGGAAAAGATAATTAGTGACAAAATGCGTTCAACTAAATGAATATTTAGTGCATCATTAAAATATATTAAAACATTTATTTAAACACCTACAATATTTTTTTTTTCTTTTAATAAATAAATTTATCTTTTGGCCAGTCAGAGCTAGCCGGCCGCCGTGGCATGCGGGTGCGGAATAGTGGTACGCGCTGTCGACAGATGGCGCTGCCTATGCTGACACCGGAGTCGGGCGGACGCGGTAGAGAAGGGTCGCCATCGCCCAAGTTGGCGTCGTTATGAAAATGTCAAAACTACAGCTGCACTTCTTTGGACCTAACTGTACACACACTATGGTGGCGGCGGTGAACTTCGAGGACGGAAAGATGCAGTTTAGCGATCGGAGGGCACGCAGGAAAGACCGGACGGAAGAAAACGCCGTGGAGAGCACAATGGCGAAAATGGCGAGAGGTCTACCTCGAAAATGTTCGGCTGTTGTGACAAAGATTGCAAGATGGGAGCGCTACCGCATTTTACCGTATCCTATCAGGACTACGCGGTATCACGGGTGAGCACCTTTCTTCACGCGATGGGAGAGAAGCTGAGGACGTCTTCACTAACAGACACCAGCGGCCGATCTTTCTTTTCATCTCACGAATACTACCTCCGAAAAAGCGATTCAACCGTCGCAAGCAAGTGGCTAAACCCGGAGCGTGTACGTCACCGAACCTATTATTTAGTTTC